CCTCCCTCCTCCTCCTCCTCCTCCGAATATATTCCTCCTCGGGTCATCGCCCCCGCGTGGCCTGCCACGCCATGTCGACCGCCACCTTCCCCACGGCCTTGGCCATGCAGGGCTTCGCGAAGTACAGCTTGTCGTCCACCTGTCTCGTGTGTGTGTGTGTGTCTGTGTGTGTGAGGGTGCGTGCGTGTGTGTGTGTGTGCGTGTGATCGTGTGTGCGTGCGCGTGCGTGTGCGTGTGCGTGTGCGTGTGCGCGTGCGCGTGCGTGTGCGTGTGCGTGTGCGTGCGTGTGTGTGTGTGTGCGTGTGTGTGTATGTGTGAGTGTGTGTGTGCGTGTGTGTGTGTGCGTGCGTGTGTCGTTTCCTCTCTCATGCCTAGCATCTTGCCTCGATCCCAGTCCCCCTCCAGCTGCGCGCCTTGCACAGCGCCACCAGCAGCTCTTTGTGCTCCCTCATCGCGGCATGCCTGGCCTTCACCGCGTTCGCGAACTTCTGCGGGGGCGGGGGGGAGGGGCGAGGTTCAGACAGAAGAAAGAGAAACGAGAAGGAGAGCAATCCTTCACGATCGGCGGCGCGGCCGCGAAGGGCGTCAGGGCTGCCTGCATGCCCGCGACATCCCTGGAAGCGATGGCCCCCTTCGGGGGCATCCCTCTGCGGGTGATTCCCATGAAATATGCCTGGGCCACAATGGCTGTAAACTACATTTGTATGTGTATATATATATATATATGTATGTATAGAATATACGTGTGTATATATTGCATATATATATATATATAAATACATGTATGTATGTATACATATATACATATATATATACATATATAAATGTGCCTATAACATAGATGCTCGGGGCCACTGCCTCGGAATCAGCATCGGTAATCCCGCGTGCTCAATATATAGGACCCACGCGCTTACATGCAAACATCATGGGTACATAACAACTCATGGGCACCGTGCCTATGACATGGGGGCCACGACCCTCTGGGCAGGGCGACGCCGGCAGCGTCGAATAGAGCCTGCCCTTGACAAAGCCAGCTGAACATCGAGGCAAGCATGTGGGCGCCGAAGTCAAACGCGGCCCAGGCGGCATGCGGCGCCCCGCCCACCCCGGGGGTCGAGTGCTTGGCCCTCCTGGCGACTTTCTTGAAACTGGAACCAGCGGAACGGCAACCTGGAGATCCTGCGCAGATTTCAGAAAGCGGCCGGGGCATGCTTGCGTCGCTGATTCAGCAGGGGGCTTCGCCAAGAAGACAATATTCCAGTAGTCACACAGTGTATGAAGTCGGCCTTCAGGGGGCGAGACAGGCCCGTCAGGGCCAGCAGCAGACGCGAGCACCAGGCTATTCGAGAACGGGGCTCACATAGCAACCTGCTTTCCATATCACGGAATAGTGATGACGAGCAAGATCCCCTGGGAGCAGACGCAGAAGATGACGAGGCAGCCGCAGAAGCAGCGATCCCTTTTTCCAGGACAACTGTGCGCACTCCTGCAGACCGCTGCTAAAAGGCGGGCGCATGTCGTAGCGCCACAGAACAACCATCGACCAGTAGAGCGTGCCTGCGCGTGCACTGAGGCGTCGAGAAGTCGCAGAGAAAGCCCGAAATCTTGTCGCCAGACCGCTCTCGAAATACTTCGCGTCTCTGCTTCGCCTGAAGCCTGGAGGAAGAGGACGTCGAGGGCCCCCCCGGCAGCCTCCTTCAACATTAGCTTGCAGCGCTCGCTCGCAACAGGAGGGTTTCACGTAAGAATATCTTCATCGCCGTCGCTGAGCACGTCCATGAGGCGCTTCTTGAAGACAAGGCTCTGGAAGATGCGCCTCGAGATGGGGTGATCCGTCGGAGGCCACGCAGCACGCTGTCGCAGCGCAGCGTCGACGGCGGCACGGTCAGACACCATCTTGGAGCTCAGCTCCTCCGGCGAGCCGATCGCCCCAGCCGTGGCCGCCAGCTGGCGCGCCACCCAGCCCGCGACCGAGCAGAAGAAGGGATTGAGCTCACAGGGTTGGTGCGCCGACGAGAGTAAGCGGGGGGGCCCGAGCAGACCGGCGCAGCCAAGGTCGGGGCGCCCCGGCCCAGGTCGGGGCGTGGACTTTGCGATCGTGAGCGGCTTGGACCTTCGAGGCTTCAGGCCCGTGAACAATCAGCGCCTCGTCAACTGAAGTCGCCGAAGACAGAGGCGAAGAACGAGAGGGGGGAGTGGCGAACCTGGCGGTTGGCATACCTGATCTATTCACAGACTGAGGCGACCTTCATCCTGGACAAGCCGTTGTTCTGGATGTCAAGCATCACCGGCTGCGCCTCGCCGAGCACCGCGTCCACGCGCAGCGCGCGTCCAGGGGTCATCTCCGCAGCCGAACAGGAGAATCGATCCGAGGGAAAGGGTGGCAGAAGGATGGCGACGCCACGAGCTCCTCGATCTCCGCAATCACAGAAGCTGCAGTGGACAATCACGTCAGAGCGGACCTTGCGCACAAAGTTGATCAATTGAGGACTGTCGCCGCGTGCTTCTTGCAGTCCCACGATGCTGCTACCAGTGACGCAGCGTCTATGGTAAGCCAAACTGTTTCTGGCCCTTGGCTCCACCGCGCTGCAATGGAGCCCTAGCGATCCAGGTAGTGAAATGCAACGCCGCGCCGCCAGCGGTCGCTGGCAGCGAGACAAGGCCCGCGAAGCCGTCAAAGACACCGCTGAGTCTGGGCCGCGGGAGCAGAAAGAGACGATGTGGCTTCGGCGAGAGGCGGCGCTCAAGACCCAGCGCCGCGAGGCCCACGTCGCTCCAATGAACCGCGGAGGGCCCGTCGCCAGGGCGGGCCTCGACCTTGGGGGCGTCGGCGACATCGGCCGCGAGGGCGCCTCTTACGGTCGACGAACCAGCGCCTCTGGGGGCAGGCGCCGCTGAAGACGCCGCGGACCTTGCGAAGGAATACCTCGGTGCGCACTTGTTTGGGGCTCTTGTCAGGGCCGAGGTGAGAACGGGCAGGGTCAGCTCCCGGGACCGCGCAGCGAAATTCCCCCCACCGGCAGCCCTTCCGCAGGCATCCCAGGGCGCGCTGGTCTCTGCGGAGGGGTGGGGGTGGGGGGGGCTGCGCCAACGGCGCCGTTGAACGTGATCGAGAACTTCTTGGCAGGGAGGGGGTGAGAGCGCGGATGTCGTAGTCACCCTCGTGGAAGTTGAGCTCAGCAAGGAAGGCGCCGATCGCGTCGCGCACGCCCTGGAGCCCAACCAACTTCGCAGCCACCGCAATAACTTGGGAGGGATCGACCTCACGATCAAAGCCAGGGGGGACGAAGGGCCTCGCAGGAGAGGCGCTGCCGAGCTCAAATTGCTTGCGGATGTCTGAGATCTCTCTATGCATAGCGATGGTCTGCCGCTCGTGCTCACCCAGGGTAAGCTCCGACTCCGACGCGCTCTTGGTGAGCGCATCCTGCTACATCTGGAATCTGCTGGCGAGCTGGTCGAGCTGGGGGCGAATCGCGGACATAATTCTCTGGTCGGCAACCTGGGCATGCCCCGGAATTTGCTAGCGCAGCACACCCAAGGTCTTCAGGATCGGGTCGTTGGCGGCCTGCAGGGACGAGGTGGCCGCAGCATTGACTATGTCATCGAAGGAGCCGCGCAGGGAGGCGAAACGAGCCTCGATGTCAACACGATAGTAGTGGATGCTGAAGTCGGGAGTTCCCCGCGTCGCCGCCCGCGCCAATGTGATACACTTGGGGCTCGGCACGAACAGGTTATGCAGCGCGAGAAGGGGCACCGCCACGAGGAGGAAACCGAGCAGCAGTTTGTGCCCACGGGTCGGGAGGGGTGCCTCCCACTTCATCTGGGAGGGTGGGGAGGATGGCGTCCGCCTGCAGTCCGCCTGCAGGATGCTGGGTGGCTGGCTGTCGGAAAGGGACTGGCCCCCAGCAGGCGCCGCCATCCAGGCAGCAGGGGCGCCAGGGTCCGATCGGCGATGAGAAGCATGCGCAAGCGGACGGAGATCAGCATCAGGACGAACATCCCAGCCACTTGGACACTTGTGCCTGCCCGAACGGTGAGGCTCCGCTGTCTTGGAGCGAGAGAGGCCACGCCGGTCAGCATCCACTGCGCTCTTGTCGCTGCGGGAGATAGAGCGAGCAGGCGAGGAACTGCGGCTGCCATCGGACATCAGGGAGGCGGGATACTGGGAGGGCTGTGGAGCACTGGATGGAAGGGATGTCAAGCGAAAGCGCTATGGCACTGCCGCGGACTAGCGGTACCCGTTTGTCCCCCAGGGGGAACATGCATCTTGAGCCAAAACGGCTAAGGAGGAAGAGGAGGAGGAGGAGGAGGAGGAGGAGGAGGAGGAGGAGGAGAAGGAGGAGGAGAGGAGGAGAGGGAGGAGTGGGAAGGGGAGGAGGAGGAGGAGGGAGGAGGAGGAGGAGGAGGAGGAGGAGGAGTGGAAGGAGGAGGAGGAGGAGGAGCGTCTCGTCCCGAAGTCGCCACGCACGCGCGGCTGTCGCGCACCGCGCCAGAGGTGCTCGCGCTGCGCCCCGGCAGAGCTATTCATGGGCCTCCCGGGGGAGGCCCCGAGCGGGTCAGCTGCGCCCCACAATCTCGGGGCAGCGGCCACAGAAACGGCATCTCGGCGCGCCAGGAAGAGGAGCAGGAGGAGGAGAAGGAGGAGGAAGAGGAGGAGGAAGAGGATGAGGAGGAGGAGGAAGAGAAGGAGGAGGAGGAGGAGATGGCGAGGATAAAGCGGAGGTGGAGGAACTCTTTGTTCTAGGACAATCGTCCCACCTTCTCTGCCATCTGCTGCTATTCGGACAGCTGCTAGCCGCAGCGCCGCCCTGCCTGCGAACCAGCCGAAATCCACTCGACCTCTGCCGAGCAGCCGTCGAGCACGACACCGACATCAGCACGACGCTACCTCACCCGCCGGGTCCCGATGCAGGAAACGCACTGCGCGACTCAGGAGGAGGGGGAGGGGAGACGGGGGAGGAGGCGGCTCAGAGAGGAAGGGCTCCGGATGGGGCAGCGACCCGATGCTACCATCCAACTCGATCTTCAGGGTCTCCATCAGGGCCTCGCAGCGCGCCTCCAGCACCGCCCGCGAGGCCTCCGCGTCGCCGGTCTGCATGTCGTCGCACCACGACCCGGCCTCCGCGGCGAGCGGGGGCAGGCGAGGGAGGAGGAGGAGGAGGAGGAGGAGGAGGAGGAGGAGGAGGACGAGGAGGAGGAGGAGGAGGACGGACCCAGATAGAAGAGCGCGCCGAGTTCGGGTGACTGGAGGAGGACGAGGAGGAGGAGGAGGAGGAGGAGGAGACGCGACGGGGAGCTCGGCACGGGGCTCGGGGGGTCCAGGGGCCGCTCTCGGGCCCCCGGGGAGAGGTCCAGAGACGGCTTGCGGGGAGAAGCCGGGCTGGGGATGCGGTCGGGCGTTCCGTGGCCCCCGTCGCGCAGGAAGTCACGTCGCGGGAGACAGGGATCGACCCAAGCAGTGTTTTTCGTCTTGGTGTTGCTCTCGTGCTTCCTCGTTTTGTCTCCAACCCACCTTTGCCACCAAGCAGGGTCAAAACGAAAACGGCCCACGAGAGCGCCACAACACCGTTCAGGTCGACCAATGGTCGGAAGATCTGGAACGAGGGGGGGGGCAAAGGGAGGGGGGGAGAGGGTGCAGGTGCCCTCGCACCATATCGGACATCCGACCCCATCCGGCCCATCCCTTTTGATAGAAAAAGACAGAAAAAAACGCCATAAAACATAAACTTTTGGCGTTCTGCGCAGATCTCTTGGATCTGCGCCAGACCCCCCTCCCTGGCGCGCGGAGCGCGCCAGGGGCGGTGCCTCCGGCGCCAGGGGCGGCGCCGGTGCCACCGCCAGGGGGACCCTGCGCGGATCCAAGAAATCCGCGCGGAGCGCAAACAGTGTATGTTTATGGCGTTTTGTTTTTCTTCGACTTATACCTGCGCGGATTTTCTCTATCCGTCGACGGGTGTCATAGCGGACCTGGAACCTTCGACAGTACACCTTTTTTCCAAATGTGGGTAGGTACAGTCCGGGAAGAGGGGAGCTGCGCACAAACGGAGGAGCGAAGCGAAGAGCAGGAAGACCAGAACGAGGAAGTAGACCAGCGGCACGAGGAGGAAGTATGAAGGAAGCAGGAAAGCAGGAACAACAACGAGGAAGGCAGGAAAGCAAGGAGGAAGTAAGGAGGAAGACAACTACGAAGAAACAGGACAACATAACAAGTGGAACGAGGAAGTACAGCCGCAGCAGGAGGAGAAGCGGGAGGATCAGGTGGACCACTGGGATTAGGTCGGACGCGTCCTCCTACAAGGGGATTTTGGACAAAACGCTATCGTCAAACCATGTAACTGAAATAATCCAGAATAGTCGAGAAAGTGTGCCGATACCCATACTATTTCTATATATTATTTTTAAATGTAGAGGGACAGGCCCGACGTAACACTGAGACGGAGCAGCACGAACAGGAGGAGCAGGAGCACAAACAGCAGCAGCACAAGCAGGAGCAGTAAGAGGAGGAGGCTCGGGTGGCTCAGCAGGCGGAGGCGAAGTCGGGCACGAAGGGGAGTCGGGGAAGAACCATGGTGAGGGGGATGACCAGGTTGAGGAGAAGGAGGAGGAGCAGCAGCAGCAGGAGGGAGGCATATCGATGAGGAGTGGCATACCCTGATCGGTCCGATTCCCTACCGCCCCTCCCGATCTTCCTTCCCAGAACCCCGTGAAACCCCCTAGAACTGCATCGAACCCCTGCCTCCTCCTCCTGCACCTCCTCCTCCTCCTCCTCCTCCTCCTCCTCCTCCTCCCGCTTCATCTGCCAGGTTGGGGGTGAAAGTGCCGCTGGGCGGGGTCAGCCGGGCCGCCCGCAGCCGTCGTCGTTGCCGTCGCCGCTGCCGGCATCGCCGCCGACGCTGGCAACAGAAAGAGGAATAATGTCATCAACATGAACTTTTGATGCTCCGAGCGGGTTTCTTGGATCCGCGCTGGACCCCCACTCCCTGGCGCGCGGAGCGCGCCAAGGGCGGCGCCGTAGGCGTCGCTGGGGGGGCCAGCGCAGATCCAAGAAGTCCGCACGGAGCGACAAAGCTTAACGTTTATGGCGTTTTTTTGTTCTCCGGTGCAGCGGAGCCGACGGCGACGGCGGCGGCGGCTTACCCGTATCTTGAGCAGGGACCGACCGTCCCCGCTTTCCTATAGGCCTACCACGAAATTTTCCCGGAACCTAAATATGTTCTAATAACCAATAATGTGCTTAGAACACAAACCCGATGTGCTAAAATAGGGAAGTCCCAGCCAGAAATGTTCTAAGAACATTTCGTGCAAACCACGAAAAAGGTTCTCAGAACATTCTTTGGTAGGCCCACAGTCGGACTTGATTGGAGAGGACCAGCGAGAAGACACGAGGCCCTTCCGGGGGCCACATTGCCGTAGGAATGCGAGAGGGCATGGGCCGCGAGGCACAGGACACAAGGGTACCCTTGTTTGGGCAGGGTCGACCTACTAATCCAGGCCGACTGTATAGGCGAGCCAGGACGCTTCGCCACTGCTTGCGCATCCCGGCGGCGCCGGCGGCCAGGGCCTCGAACCAGGAGCCCGGCGGCGGGAGCCGCCGCGCCGCCTCCTCCGCGCCACGGGCAGGGAGGCTCTGCCCCCCGCTTCGTCGTCGTCGTCGTTCGTCGTCGTCGCCGCCGTCGTCGTCGTCGTCGTCGTCGTCGTTCGTCGTCGTCGTCGTCGCAACCTTAGGTCGAGCATGTCCTCCTACAGGCGGATTTGGGAGGACAACTTAAGCATAAGCAAAACATGCTCGAAAGTGACATCAGAACTAGTCAACAAATCGTCCCCATACTATGTTTGTTGACTATGTTTGAATACGTATTCCTCGTGTAGAGGGACATGTCCGACTTAATCGTAATCATCGCTGTCGACGCCGTCGCCATCGTCACCGTCGCCGACGACGCCGTCGTCGTAGCTGCCGCAGCCTTCGCCATCGCGGCCGTCGCTGTCGTCGCTGGCAGAGTCGCCTTTGCCGTCGCCGTTGTTGTCGCCCGGGTCTGGCCGTTGTTGTCGCCCAGGTCCGGCGGCTTCCGCGGTGGCGTCAACTCGACAAAGGGCCCAAAGTGCCTCGGTACCGTTTTGAACCCTTTTCCCGTGCCGTGGGGCGCAGTCACCCGGGGAGCACTGCCGCCGACGAAAACAAAAGCTCCGTCGTCGCGTAGGAGGGTGAGGAAGGATACGTAGGATAATGGAGGGTGAGGAGGATGAGGATGAGGAGGGAGGGCTAGGAGGATGAGGAGGGAGGACTAGGAGTCTTAGTCCTCCCTCCTTCGCTGCTCTTACTGATGCTGCTGCTGCTGCTGCCCCTCTTCTGTACGTTATCTTTCTCCTCCCTCGCAGCTGCTGCGATGTGTGCAGAACCTGGATGTAGATTTTGCGAACGGTCGCTTGTCACGCATTGCGCTCGTCGGGTTGCAACTTCTTGCGCCCGGCGTCGGAATCGGTAACTACGCCGATCGCTGCTCTTCTGCATCCCATACCACGAAGCCTAAGTCCGTCGCTCTGCGTCGTGCCTGGAAGAACATGCGACATATGTATAAATGTGTAGGCGTGGGTAAGAGCGTGCGCGTGCAACATCGGGCACGCAGGAACGTCTCTCAGCGAGCAAATAGCAGAGAACATCGGGCGGAACGTGCCGCTCGGCGAGAACGACTTCGCAAAACCACGAAGAACCCGTTGACAAACTGCCCGAAGGCACCCGCTGTCTGGCCGCCGATCTCATGCAAAGCTGCACCTCGTAATCCGTGTTCAGAGAAGCTGCTCCCAATAGTGCCGATCGAAAGCTTCTAACGAAAAGAGCCTGTTGACCAACATCTCCCACTCCCCCCCTGGTCCTTCTCCTCATCCTCCTCATGCTCGTCATTTCCCCTCCTCCAACATTAGAGGCCTCCTAGATGGGGTCGGAGTAGATGGGATCGGAGGATCGCGCCGCATCGACGACATGGACGATGCATCGGCGACGTCGACGTAAAGCAAATCGGGCTCCACATCGAGCCACATGGGCGAGCATCGGCGACGCGGCGCGATCCTCCGACCCAATCTACTCCGACCACTGTCCGGGAGGCGTAGATCCTGTCCCTACCTCCAAAACATCCTCCCACTCCCCTCGTTCCGTCTTCGACGCAGCCCCCTCTCCTGAGCGGCCATCCTTTGTCGCGGGTCAAGGTGCACCAGGTCGAGCACCTCGCGCGGCTGACGGAGCCAGCCGAGAGGGGGACGCCGTCGCGGATCCCTTTGTCGGAGGGAGGGGAGCGGGAGGAAAAAGCAGGGGAAATTCTGTGGCAACTCGTGGGAGCCTCCTATACCACCCTGCTCTTGCAAACCGACGCTAGTCGACGCAAGATCGAATCTAGTCGACGCTAATCGAGGATAATCGACGCTAAATCGGCGCGATCTCATCGATTACCAGACGCTGAACGACGACAGTGCACTCTAAAGACAGAAGTATGAGGGTACACAAGGCTCCCAGGATTAGCTGCCGACGAGAAGGGGATAGGGCAGAGATGGACAGAGGACAAGAGGCCCTCGAGAGGCAACACTCGGTGATCCTGCTTTTGCAAAAATGCATGCTGTGCGCCCTTCGCTTCTGGGGCTCCAAAAAGACGAAGACGGTCATGGGGGGCCTGGAAGATCGCCCCAAGACGGCACACATGGCCCCACAGGAAGTCCCAAGCCGGCCCAAGAGGGCCCCAAGACAGATAGAGGACTCCAGGATGGCTTCAGATTGGATGGAACGAGATCGGAATTCAGATAAACGCACATTCAAACCGAGCGGTGGACTGGCGCGGGTGGTGATCTCAGTCCAAGACCGTCCGGAGACGGCCCAACGAGTCCCTCAAGACTACAACATCTCCACAGGATGCCGCAAGAATGTTCCCATAGATACCCGAAGAGGCACCTGGCGAGGCCCTCAGAGGAGAGAGGCGCTGAAAACCAAAAAAAGGAACTCAATGTGTTTCGCTCCCGAGGACTCTCGGTCTCAGATCGCCTCAGGGAAAATCGGGAGGCACCGAGAGCTAGGCCAGGCATGTCCTCCTACAGGCAGGTTTTGGATGAAAAATAAAACGTATTCGAACAATCGTCCCCAGCAGATATTTGTCCAATGATTGACTATTCCTCCTGAAGGACATGCCCGACTTACCCCGAGAGGCCCCCGATGCTGCCCAGCACTGGCCCAAGGGCAGCCCCCCCCCAGAGATGGGCCCAGAGTCTGCGGCTCGACGACCGAAGGAGTGAGGTCGAGGTCAAGACTTAGGTCGGGCATGTCTTCCTACATGCGGATGTTGGAGAAACAGTGGCCAAAAATGCTCGCAACTACTCAAACATAGTCAAGAAATGGTCCTCAAAATCATTTGTGGATTATTTTTGAATACCCCTCCTGTAGAAGGACATGCCGGACTTGAGTCAAGACCCGTGTGAGTTCGCACGCCGCGCTCAACTGGCGGGGGTATTGAGCCCCGCCTCCCTACCCTCCCCCCCCCCCCCGCCACCCCTCCCCCCCACCACCCCTCCCCGGCCCACCCTGTGGAGAGGGGGGCCAGGGGTGGAGGGCCCCACCGTGCAGGGAGGGCACTTAAGACCCATCCCCCTCCAACCCCTCTCCCCCAACTCTCCCCTGGCGCACGAGGGGAACCAGGGAAACTTGGTAGTCCCCAAACGTGGCGGTGACAACACCCGGCGGTGAGCCTCGGGCGACTTGGTGTCACCACCCGGTTTGGGGACTCGTGTGGTTGATCGAGGTTGTCCCAAACGCTGGTGGGCCCAGGAGTCACAAAACCTGGCGGTGACCCCGTGTTCCAAAACGCGGCGGTGACTTTTTGGATTCCAGGTCACCACCTGATATCTCACCACCTGGCTTGGGGGCTCCCCAAAAGCTCAAGACCACCCCCCCGCCTCCCCCCCGTGGTCAAGGGGACAAGGGTTAGGTCGGGCATGTCCCCCTACAGGCGGATGCTGGAAGACAAATAGGGAGGAATCAAACCGTGCTCAAACATAATCATAAAATCATAGAAAAATCGTCCCCAGACTATCTTTGAATTATTTTTGAATAATCCTCCTGTAGAGGGACAGGCCTTTAAGACAAGGGGACCAACCTCTCTGGGGGGGGTGCCAGCGGGGGGGTCCCCGGGGGAGCTCCCGCACTCAGGGTCGGCGGCACAAGCCGCAACGCCGCAAGGCCTTCACGCTGTTCTCGGCGAGGGTGCAACCTTTCCTGCTTCTCGACGGACTCGCCTGTCTTTCCTCCAAGAGGGGGCGAGGGAGGGAGGGGACGAAGGGGGAATGCAACGGCAAGGGCAATCATAGAAAACACAAAACATATGACCCTAAGCCTCTGGCGCTCCGCGCGGATGTCTTGGATCCGCGCTGGACCCCCATCCCTGGCGCGCGGAGCGCGCCAGGGGCGGCAGCCTGAGGCGCCTCCGGGGGGGCTCCAAGCGCGAATCCGAGAAATCCGCGCTGAGCGCCAACAGTCTATGTTTAGGCAGTTTTCTCTTCCTCGAGAGGAGGGGGAACTGCAACGGCAGGGACAGTCATAGGAGGGAGGGGGACGGGAGAAGACTGGAGGAAGGAAGGGGGGGCAATAAGAGGACGGGAATGTACACATGTTTATGCCGCTTTTCCTTCTTCCGCCAAGGGGACGCGAGGAGATACCCTCCGAAGGCCCCCCCCTGCCGGGCACCACCGCAGCCAGTGCCGGCATCGGCGGCGGCGACGGCCGCGACCAGCGTGCCCTGCCGCGCATGGCCGCTGCACGTCCTCCCCCAACTCGGGCCTGCCGCTCGTCCAGCTCTTGCCCATCCTCCTTCTCCTCCTCCTCCTCCTCCTCCTCCTCTTTCCCCCCCTCCTCCTCCCTGTCCCCCTCCTCGCCCACCTCCTCCTCCTCCCCGTCTTCCTCCCGCTCCCACTCCCGCTCCTCCAGCTCCTCCTCCAGCTCCTCTTCCTCCTCCAGCTTACTTCCCTCCTCCTGATCCTCCTCCTCCTCCTTCCCCCTCCTCCTCCGCCACCTCCTCCATGCCGTCTGTCGCACGCCGAGGCCGGTCTCGAAAGGGCGGTACGGGCGTCTGGCTCTGAGATTTCCTGTACCGGTCGTGGCCCCGGTTCTCAAACATGGACAGGAGCTTCGCTGATGAGGAGGGCGGGCCGTCTCCAAAAGTGTGGCTCTCGCCTGAGCGCCGCGCGCATTCGTTTTCAACTGTTCTAATGTCTTTCTTGGCTCGATGTTTTATTGGCTCGGTTTTAATCGAGGGCGGCTCGATCTTTTATGTGGCTCTCGCCTTGCCACCGCGCACATTCGTTCGAACACCTTGCAAGAACGTCACGGACTGAGGTCGGGCCGTTTTCAGAATGCGGTTTTCGCCGAAGCGCCGCGCACATTCTTTTGAAACATTCGCAAGAGCTTCACTGGTTCTCATCGTTAGCAAACCAAAGATGGCGTTTTGGATCGATTCTGGATAGTCAGGGCGCAACAATTGCGTTGATTCGCAGTGTTGAAGTCCCAGATTTGGTGTTCTGGCACGATTCAGGATCGCCAAGACGTAACGAACAATTCAACTCGTGGCGGAACTCGCTTCAAGATATTCACACGGTTGTCCCCAAACGGGGCACTCCCCTCAGTGGGAATGACCCCTTGTAGGGGCCTATGAAGGAGGCTCTCGGAGGGAGCATGTATTTCAACATCGTGAGTCTTGGGTTTACACTGGTCCTCCTCCCTCGCCTCCGCCTCCTCCTCCTCCGCCTCCTCCTCCTCCTCCTCCTTCTCCCTGTCCCCTTCATACTCCTACTCCTCCTCCAGCTCATCCTCCTCCTTGTCCTCCTCTTCCAGCTGCTCCTCCTCCTCCTTCTCCTCCTTCTCATCCTCCTCCTCCGCCTCCTGTTTTTCCAACTCCTCCTCCTCCTCCTCCTCCTTCTCCTTCTCCTCCTCCTCTTCCGCCTCCTGCCCCTCTTCCCTCCTCCTACCGAGTGTCACAAGACTGATCGCTGATTGCCACACGAATGTGCATACGGTTCATCTCCTTGAGCCGTGGATGCACGTAATTAAGTTGCCCAGAGTAACCAAAAAAAAAAAAACGTGCGCTCGCAATGCGAACGTGCTCGCTGACACGGCGAGTACCTGTGGCGCGGGAAATGTCACAAACCTCTTTGTTGGCTCTGTGCGCACTTAGCGCGTCGGCAGTGTCTTCAGAGTGCCGCGCATTCAAGAGTGCTCCTACGCTTTCAAGATTGTTGCCTGGCTGCGCTCTCCAGATGGCTGCGTGGCCCGGCGAAGGCTCGCGCCAGAGCGTGTCCCCAGATCCTCTTGGCTTGGCTCTCCTCTTCTCCCCTCCCGTTCCCCTCCCTCCCTCCCTCTCTGCTCGCTCCTCGTCCCCGCCTCCTCCCCTCCATCCTCGCTCCAGTGCCCTCCTCGCTTCCCTCGGCTCGGCTCCTCTCGCCCCTCCTCTCTCCGCGCTCCTCCCCTCATCGAGTCCGCGGGCCCTGCCCCGCCTCGGGCGCGCGGATGCGGATGGCCGACCCCTCGGCAAAAAAACCCGCCCCGGGTCGACGAGGCCGGACAGTCCACGGCCCCTCCCTCCCCTCCGGCTCGAGGCCCCAAACCCGCCTCCGGCTCGAGGCGACGGGCCCTCCCCCCGCCGTGCTCCCGAGCGCCCGCGCGCCCGGCGCCGGCCGCGCGCGTGGCAGGCAGGCGTCGCGGCTGCGCGACGCCCTGCGCTGCCAGTGCACCGCAGGAGCGCCTCCAGTGAATGTCAGAGGCCCACCGTGGCCGTGTGTCTGGCAGTCGTCCCCTGGGCGGCCTTGCCACACCTCCCTCCGCCTCGCTTCCTAGCATCCTCCTCCTCCTCCTCCTCCTCCTCCTCCTCCTCCTCCTCCTCCACCACCACCACCACCACCACCTCCTCCTCCTCCTCCTCCTCCTCCTCCTCCTCCCCCTCCTCCTCCTCCTCCTCCTCCTCCTGGCTCAAGACCTGAGCACACCGCGGGAGGTGCAGGTCTCAGCATTGCCATCCAGGGCAGGCCCTGGGTGCTGGGGCCCAAGCTTGTTTGCTCTGCCCCCGTGCCGCCTGGTCAGCCCCAGGCAGAGGCACAATCACGACCCGCATCAGTGCTGCCATAGGGCCTCTCGTGTGCGTGCGCCAGCGCGCCGCCATCATCAGAAGATGCCCGCCCAGCAGCAGAAGAAGTACATGGTCTGCTCGAAGCGAGGTTGCAAGGGCTGGGCTTGGTGCGCGACGAATTCTCGTCATTGCATGCAGTGTGGCAGCCGTTTCAAGCAGGGCGGGGATCATGGTCCCCCAGCTAGACCCCAAGGCGGTGGAGGTGGCCCCCAGGATGTTCGGCCTGACGTCGAGGAGGAGCCCGCCAAGCCAGGACGCTGGAGGAAAGGCTCCCGCGGTCCAGAGCGCCCACCAGGCCTGGGGCGCGGAGGCGGCCGAGTGGTCACCTTCGAGGATGCAGTTCCCGCTGACGACCCAGTCGCCCTGGCCCAAGCTCAAGTCACCTTCTGGAAAAAGTGGAAGCCAGATGGAGAGGAGCACAAGGCGGCGCTGGGCAAGCTCAAGTTCGCCAAGGCGCAGGCGCTATCAGCCAAGAGCCTGGAGCAGCAAGCACAATCCCTGTCAGATCAACTCCAGGTGCTGCGCCAGAGGTTGCAGTCGCAGAAGCAGGAGGCCAGCGAGCTGGTCACTACTATTGTCGAGGCAAGTGAATATCACGGCAAGCTGGTCGAGGAGATCGAAGCTAATCCAAAAGAAGTGCAAACGCTGGAGACACAGCTCAATGCGGCCACCCAGGCGGCTGCGTACGAGGCATCCAAAGCTGAAGATTTGCTCACCACCATTCAAGGAGTTATATCCGCCAGAATGCCACAAGGAGGACTGGCCCCACCTGAACTACGAGATAAAGTATCGGAGCTGGCCGCCATGTTCGACACCTTGCAGCAGCAACATGTCGCATCCCAGGCCTCGGGCGCACCAGCAGGTGGCGGCCCGCCTGCGGAGGCGGCCCAGCGCGGGGTCATCGACGGCTTCCCTGCAGTTGGAGAGAGCCCTGATGACGGCCAGGCAAGTCAGACGCCCGTGCCCATCCCAGGCCAGCACGTCCCCACTCCCGCCGACGACAAGGAGCTGGAGTCCATGGCAGAGGAGCAGGCCATGGACACGTCTGAAGGCCGCCGCCGTGCGGCTGCTGCGCTATCCGAGGTCGCCCAGGGCATGGCCAAGATCCAGAGTGAGTCAGGCCCCGAGACCAAGAGGGTCAAGGCGGCAGCCGAGGCTGCGTCTCTCGCGGCCACCCAGGGCCAGAAGCCGCCAGGGTAACACTTATAAGATCGCTACTATCAATGGTTCCTGCTGGCCTGCTGTGCGCAAGTTTGTCCTTTCGCCGCAGTCTAGTGCAGTCGCGATCATCTGTGCTCAGGAGTGTAAGCTTGCCGAAGGAGATAGCATTGTGCGTAAGATACAATGGTGCTCGGCCCAGGGGTGGCTGGCTTACATCACGCCTGCAGCCGCGAGTGAGAATAATGAGTTGGTTTCGGGAGTTGCGATTTTGATTCGGGATGGCTTGGACCTCGGGGTCCAGCCAATCACTTTTTCTGCCGCTTTCGACCCCGCTCGATTATCGGGGGTGTTGCTCGAACTTCCTGGGGTCCCGAAGTTCGCCATATGTTGTACCTACTTTCAGGCTGCTGCTGGTCTCTCCAAGACCAATTTCAAACTGCTGGCCGCCATAGGCCAACTTCAGGATGATTTGACCCATCCAGTGTTGGTTGCGGGGGATTTTAACCTAGCCCCCGCTAGGTTGGCCCAAGCGGAGTTTCTGTCCAGGTCCACGATGACCCTGCTTGTGCCGCCGACCGCCACCTACCGAAACAAGAAGACCAAATCCACGCTAGATTATTTCCTGTCTAGCCAAGGCCTCTCGCCGTGGCTCAGTAACCCCCGTACTCTTTCCTCGTATCCTCTCTCCCCTCACAGACCTGTGCTGCTAGATATTGTAGTTGAGAATAACTTTAATATCCCCACGCTGCATAGGCCCCAGAAGCTACCCACACGTATCCCTGTGGGCCCGCAATTGCCAGAAGTGAGTTGGCACCAGTCAGCTGCTGCATTGGAGTACGCTTCACTATTTATCGATGATGCTCAACGGCCGCTCAGCGATCAACAGCAGTCGGTGCTCCTGGACCACGTGTATTTCAGCTTGGCCCAGGACTTGGAAGCTACAATCAGTAAGAAAACTAACACCCCCCTCAAGCCTAGCAAGTACCCCAGGGCCCCACCCCCCTCAGGTTCTTACGGTCCCCGCTGAGGCCAAGGCTGCTAGGAGTAGGGCCAAATGGGTGGCCTACACGGGCCCGTTGAGATGGCTCATCAATAGGATCCAAGATTTCCATAGATGTGTTCAGGACTGGAATCTCACTGAGTTTCAGGACGCTCTCGACAGCTGAGAGGATTGCCCTGAGCTGTTCACCACCGTCGTGTCCCTCAAGGAGGGGCTGCAAGAGATTAGAGTTGCTGCAGGTCTGTTGCACGTTGATTTCAGCGCTGGTGCCCTGAACCAGGCGCTGGCGATCCAGGTTCTGGACGAGCTGCTAGAGCACGTCACCAAGCTCCTGCATCAGGAGCAGGCGGCAGAGAACGCTGCAGACGGGAAGGCATGGAGGGATTGGGTTCAGGACAACATGAAGGGAGGAATGGGATGGGCTCACAGATGGACCAAGCGTTTGGAGGCCTGGAGGCCCTCGTCAGTTCCATTTAAGTCGCAGTATTCTGGCAGGCCCCAGCATATATTGCAGGCTGAAGCAGATCGTCTGGCAAAAATATGGCAGGTTTCCCAGGATACCCCACCTCAGCTCGTTCCTGACAGAGAAGATCGAATTGCCCTGGGCCCCATCAGCCCCAAGAGACTACGACAGGTTGCGAAAAGTTTTCCCCATGCCACTGCCACTACCTGGGACGGGTTCCACCCTAGGCATTCCAGTATGTTGAGTAACGAACAGGCAGAGATTGTCTGCGATTTTATTGGCCTGCTGGAAAAGATGGGACATATGCCAACCCAGCTCCAAGGCATCGTATCGACTCTGATGATGAAGTTGAAACAGCATGATGCCCCAGCCAGCCAGCCCTCTTTCAGGTCCATTGGCATGCTTCCAGCTTTGCACAGAGTCTGGGCTAGGCTCAGGAGGTCAGCGGCCAGAGAGTGGGAGGCACACCACCGCAGGCCGTATCTTGCTCATCAGGCTGGTCACTCCATGGTGGAATTAGTATACAAACAATCCTTGGAATGCGAGTTCAACAGCTCTGACAAAGATCAACAATATAGTGCCCAAGTTCTCTACGATTTATCTAACTACTACGAACATGTTGATCGGCCTTGTCTTGCTTATCGTGCTGTTGAATCAGGTTTTCCGTGTTGTTTATTGCGTATCATACTATCTCAATATGCCAGTGAACGCATAGTTGCACTACAAGATTGTGCAGTCAGTGTAGGCAAGCCTTGGAGGGGCATAGCCGCAGGATGCAGTTGGGCCACCTATCTTGTGCAAATGTATGTGCTCGCCCCGCTCGACGTGTGGACGCAGGCGCATTGTCATATCAGGCTCGCGATGTTTATAGATGATCTGCTGCTCCAGTGCCACGGCCGCAGTTGCAGCCTCATCGTCAGCCAGCTCAATATTGTTGCCAGGTCCATGGCAGACTGCATCATCAATGAGTTTAAGTGCCAGATCGCCAGCAAGAAAAGTCAGGTCCTGGCGTCCCAGCAAGCCCTTCAGGATCAACTCAGGACGGCCCTCGGGCCTCTGGCGGGCCCGAACTCGGATAGGTCTGGACCTAACCTGGGTTGTGAAACTGGGGCTGGACGGCCCCAACGACGTTGGAGAAAGCAGCGTAAGATTTCGGAGCGTCTTGATAAGATGCGTAAAAGACTTAACAGGGTTCGCATGCTCAAGAGAGCAGGGGGTAACACTCATAAGTTGTATAGGACTGGCCTCGAGGCGGCCACCACGTTCGGAGTCGAGGTGACTGGCATCAATGGCACGCAGTTGGAATCAGCTAGGTCGCAGTTTTTTGGCTGCTGCGGGACCCCGTTGCCCGACGCGCAGCCGCAGTTTGGCTCTGCTCATCCTCGAGGACCCCTTGTGGAAAGCTGCCCTGGGCCCCGCCATTATGTGGCATCGCCTTGTTTGGGGCGCCGCCACCCGCCCCCACCTCGCCGTGACCAGCCTACAGCAGTTACGTGTTTGGGCTGAGGCCATCCTCCCGAGAGTTGTTAAATCTTGGGGCTCCTCCAGGGGCCCCCTCAGCGCTGCGGCGCTTTCGCTTAAAAGGATCGGTTGGAAATCCCAGGGACCATTTACTTTTGTGACCTCCTCAGGCATTGAGTACCCTCTCCCAGGACATTCCCCCGCCCTCCTCCAAAAGCTCATGGAGTTCGACTGGCGCGGCCAGCTCGCTTCCAAGGCGGCCGAGAAGATCGGCCACCCGAACGCCCAGTTAGATGTGGTTGCTGCCCGTGCTGCTCTGTCATCGCCAGACCTCCTTGGCCACCAGAAGGGAACCCTCCTCGCCTTCCTCACCCAGAGTATATGGACTATGGACAGAGCCAAGGCAGCAGGATATGAAGTCGAGACTGGCTGCGAGTGCGGCCACCATTCGGACAACCTCGGCCACCGCATACTTTACTGCCCGAAGACAGAGAATCTCAGAACCACTCACTTCTCGGCAGCGGAGCTTCAGAATTTAAGAGAGCCTCCTCCCCAGACCCTGCCCCAGTATCTCGGTTTCCAGCTGGTGCCCGAGTATCGTGGAGAGAATCCTCCTGGTTCGGGCCTGGAGTTTGGGGAGTTTTGGTGTGCTCAGGAGGGGATCACCCCGCAGGAGGCTTTCAGCGAAGGGGAGGTGTATATAGATGGTAGTTGCACTAACCACGGTCACTATGTTTTCAACGCCGCAGGTTTCGCGGTTGTCTGCATGCGTAACGGTGAAGCTTTTGCCCATTTCAGTGGCCGAGTCGGCCAGATGTTTTTACAAACCTCGGGTGCCGCGGAGCATTTGGCCGCTGTTGCGGCCAGTATTCTTTCTAGGGATGTGGAAGTCATTTACTCTGATTATAAAGGAGTTTTGTCCCTGCACCAAGGGTCTGAGTACCCTCGGCACAACGTGTGGGCTGGGTGTAAGGTCTTGGCTGGCAGGAGCCAGTTCCCCCTCGGCCAACGCCTGCGCAAGGTCAAGGCCCACCAAGACTTGCAGGCCCTCTCAGAAGGCAGTGAAGAGAGAAGGTTGGCCGAAGGTAATAGTACTGCTGACCGCATTGCCAAGGCAGCCGCTTTTAAAGGAATGCAGCCCAGTGAAGCAGAGAAAAGTGATTTCACTGACAGTCGGAAGTTTATCGTGCGATATTTGAAGTATGTTGCGCAGGCTCTGGGAGAGTGGCCCGCGATCGCCCCCCACCGCAACAAAGTTTTGGCCGCCCCAGAGAAGAGTTTTTCTCCCCCCACGGGTGCCGCCTCTGCCCTTTCGTCGTGGACGCCGCCGTCGTCGGTCGAGCCTCCCCCCCCTCCGCCTCCGCCTGTGCCCCAAGAGGAGCCCAGAGAGCCCTTCAGGTACCACGCATGGGCTCTCATTCACCAGTATCACAGGTGCATCCTGTGTAGAGTGCAGACCAAGTCTTTCAAACAGCGGGGAGTCTTACAGGCCCAGCATTGCCCAGGCCACTGTAAGCAGCTCTCCGATTTTGTGCATGATAATAAAGGCCACGATTTGTTTTACTACGAGCACCTTGATCACCCGACGAGTATCTTGGTTTGCCATAAGTGTGGATCCTTCTCTGAAGGGTTGGGTCGAGGGCTCGCTAGTGCGTGCAGCACTAGAGTGAGCCACCAAGGAGCGGCCACTCAGCTAGCCCGCGTCCAGGAGGGTCGAGATCCCAAGGGCACAAAGTCGTCCCCGATCGTTTTTAAGACCCCCGCTACT